CTGACCCCCTGACTGACTGCGCCCCCTTCGCGTGCTGTGTTTTTGCGCGCGGGGGCCCGCTCGTTCCGAATCGCGCCCCCGCTGCAGCGCTGACCTCAGTCCCGTGCTATTCGACGGCGTGAAATGCAATGACTGCAATGACATGTTGTGTTCTGCTGTGCGATGGCACGCCTCCGTAGTCAATGATGCGATATGCAGTGCTTGACTGCGGAGGGGCCCTGGGCCCTGGGCCATGCCGCGCTATGCCATGCCGCGATCTTCAACGACATGTTATGCTACACCATGCCACGACACCCGACTGTGTTGATAGAGAGAAGATCTACGCCATGTTAGGGGATGGGAGGGAGGGAGGGGTAGGACGGCAGATAAGACGTTTGCGCACCTAGTTTGCCCCCCCCCGCGCCCCGCACGTCGACCCCCGCCTCCTGCCTCCTGCCCGCTCGGCCCGCAGGAGCTCGCGCAGCACCAACAGGACGCGAAGGGCGTCTCCGTCCCCGAGAAGGCGAAGGCCATGCACGCGCACGCCAGGTCGAAGAATTTCGGGGACAAGGACCGACCAGCGGCTGCGGGGAGCGGGGGCCTCCCCATGTGCCGTCGTCCTTCGTCCCCTGCCTCTCTTCGGGCTGCCTGCCCCCGCCCCCCCTCGCCCCCTTTTCCGCTGTCCTCGCCTCGCTCGCGCCTCGCCCTATCGAAGACGCAGCGTCGTTCGAGCGGGCCCTGAAAGGGGTTGGCGCCTCGCGACAGGGCGGCGGCAAGGTCGACAGCACCCTCCGCCATTCGATCTTTGGCCTGGGGCCCGGGGGGGAGAGGTTTCAGTTGATGGGCCGCTGTCTGGCCTGGGCCGACGTCTGGCGGCCCATTCGTCCTCGAGGTTCGCCGTCGCAGCAACCTTCCTTCGACTGCACCCGCCCGCCCCTTCCTATGCTCCCGGCGTTGCCCTTTCAATTTCTTGCTTGCGCTGATCGTCGAGTTGATGTTGCCCATTGCTGCTGCGGCCGAGGGCGGTTCTGCCGCCGATGCCTCTCTCTTGCTTCTTTTGACTTTTGGCAGGAGGGCCAGACGCCCCTGCCGAAGATCCTGGACAGGGTGCTCGCGAAGATGCTAGCCACGCCCGTCGGAGCAGCTTGAGGCTTGGCTTGAGCAAGGCTTGAGCCTGCGGGGCTCGGAGCTCTCGCAGGTTTTGACGCGACCCCCGCCGGAGAGGACGGGGGCCCCGGCCCGCGGGGCGGGCAGGGATGAGGAGGAGGAGGAGCGAGTGCGAGATGGGGCGCACTCGCTCCTCGGATTCGGGCGCGCCTGGGTGGAAAGACGCGCTCGCGCCCGCCTTCGTCCTATCCTTCTCCCAGGGGCTTTCGCAGCCCTTCTTTCCTTCTCTCCTTCTCGTCCTTCTCTTCGTCCTATCGTCCTATCCTATCCCCTATCCTTCTCTCCCCTCCCCCCTCGTCCTATCCTCCCTCCTCGTCCCACCCTTCGTCCTTCTCTCCTTCTTGTCCCCTCGTCCTCGTCCCCTCGTCCTTCTCTCCTTCTCTCCCCTCGTCCTATCCTTCTCTCCTTCCCTCCTTCTCGTCCTATCGTTCTCGTCCTATCCTTCTCCCCGTGCCGTAGTCACTGTCGTTTCGCGTCCTCGCCGCCGCTGCCGCCAATCCTGAAACCGATCCATTCTTCCAGCGGGCCATGTGAACCAGTGCGAACGTTTGCATGGCCACGTGCGCCGTTTTGGCCCCAGGTTGCGGCACTGCACATCTGCTCCTCGCCTGGCATCCTGGCACTTGGGGCCCTGGGGATGGCGCCGAAACGATTTTGGCCTGGCTTCTATCCAGCCGTCCCCGCGGGCCTCACGGAGTCTCAGAGAGGGCGGTTCTTTCGTCTCCAGTCATTGCTGAGGAAGGAAAGGGTGGAGAACAAGTTCCTCAGCCAGAGGCTCAAGCGCTACCAGAAGAAGATGGAGGTGCTCGTCGATGTCGCAGACGACACGAAGATCAAAGACATGAGCCTCGTGGAGAGCCAGCGTCGCGCAGTGGATACTGTCGACCGTGAGGACCGTGAGGCTCGTCAGGCAGCGCACGGCGAGTAGGTCCGGGCTGCCGTCTGCGCTGCGCTTGCCGACGGTCACGGTGCCCGAGCTGCGCCAGCGAACATCTTCATCATCATGATCGGGGGGCTCTTCATAACATTCAGTTGTGCTGGCACGTTCGCGGCCCCAAGAGGGCCCTCCAAGGGTGGACTTCGTGGCCCGTGATCCGTGGCCCGCGGCCCCAATGGGGGGCCCGCTGGAGCCCGCAGAGAAGCTGGAATTCTTCACGCTTCGCGCGCCCCCCCCCCACCGGCCCATCCCCAAAACAGCAGCTTTTGCGAAGCATACCGACAGTTGTGATTTGCAGGCGCACCTCCTCCTGCCCTCGCATATGTCCCCCTGTTCCTCCTATCTTCCACCTACTTCCTTTTATCTCATCCTTTCCTTGTGGGAGGAGTGGAGGGGCCCGGCTGGAGGAGGAGGAAGAAGAGAAGACGACGGGGGGCGGGGGGAAGCGGCGACGCCGACGACGACGGCGAGGGCCACGATGACGACGACGCACCCGACGACGATAATGACTACGACGACCGCCGCGACGACAACCGCGATGACGACGACGACGACGACGGCGACGATGACGATGACGACGACGACCGACGACGACGACGACGACGACGTGGTGCGCGTTTCTTAAGATTCATGGAGGAGGAGGGGGACGCTCGTGCAATGCCCGCTGTGGCAACCCGCCAGGCCCCCAGAGGCCGTCGTCGGCACCCTAGCGGTTGCCCTAACGGCGCCGCGGCGGTGCCACCCCTTGCCCCTCAGTGTGGCCCCCATGGCGACTTTTTGCCCGCTGGGGAGCCATTCTGGGGCGCGGCGGGGGGAATGGGTGATTCTGATCCCCTCGGCGGTCCGCGGGTCCTCCATGCCGTCGAGCTCGGGCACCCTCGACCTAGGGTCGAGGGTGGCAGTGCGGGGGAGGAGGAGGACGAAGGATCCATGAACCCCGATACGGCCCAAACACATCCCCCTTGGGGCCCTCTTGGGCCGCTATTGGGGCGCCCTTGGGCCCGCTCTTGGGCCATTTTGGGGTCATCTTGAGGCCTCGAGAGCCCATCGGAAGCAAGAAGGCGAGACGACAACTAAAACTAGATTTCCATACGAATTTGAAAACATTTGGGCCTCTCGGGTGCGTCCTTGGGCGGCTCCGTGGCCACTTGGAGCCGTCTTGGGACGGTCTATATTGAGTCATCGAAGGATCTCTTGAGCGATTTTGGAGGTCATCTTGAGCTCTCTTGAGCCCTCTTGGCGCTATCTTGGCGCACCAACTACCCGCGGGGCCCCCCGTCCAGGCCAAGGGGGGGGGCAGGGGTGGAACGTAGCGGGCGCCCCTAAACCACTCACGCACTGAGGGCTGGTGGGATTATTTGATAGCTCGATCCACATAGTTTTATCTTCCATTCGTGCCGCAACAACCCTCTCCAAAACCATAGGTTTCGGAAATAGATATTTGGTATTTATGGTCGGGCTCGCTGGGTTGGCCCTAGCGGCCCCAACAAGAAAAGGGGCCTCGTGTCTTATCTACCGTTCCTTCGGTCAGGCCAAATACTGTTTACATTGTTCATTTCTTGTTCTTCAAAAGTGCTTCGATTTTTGTTGGGAGCCAAGATCCGTTCTTCTCTATTTGTTCTATCCTGGGCCTCTTCCTGGCCTCTAGGGGACACGGAACAAGGAGAAACGAGCACAATTTGAAATGACCGCGATTAGAAATGAACGGCGTGGATGTGCACTCCGTGTGTGTGCGCTTCTGTTCACCGTCGCACTCCCAGCCCCTCCTGCCGCCTCGCGCCTCGGCGAGGCCCCCCCCCTAGACCAGGACACAGAGAAGCCAGAGCACGCACAACCAGTGAAATAACAGAAGCTGTAGCTAGCATATATTTTTATATATGAAAAGTCCATAAATGATCTATCTATATATATATATATATGCACGTGCAAAGTTTGACCTTTTGCATATATGTATACGTATTATCTGTACACGCAAAGTCGTATTTTTCAGCACCCGTGCATGCTTGGTCTGCTGCGCTGCAGGATTCGTGTGTGTGTGTGTGTTTGTGTGTCCAGGTTTCGGGGGGGGCCTTGCAGGCTTCCAGGGCCCGTGTCCAAGCTTATCCTGGAAGAGGCTGCAGTGCAGCATTATGTTCGTGCCGCCGTCTGAGAACATTATGTTTGAGAGTTGTTGGGTATCCGGGTCTAGCGTGTCCGGGTTTGCGGGGCCCTGACGCGTCCCTTTGCCCTCGCGCCTCACTGTGCTTCCGCGCGCCCCGCCGCTGTCCGACCGCCGTCTGACCCTCTTGCGGCCGCGGACTGAAAATTGGTCCAAAACGAGAGTGCAAGCACCCCCTGCGTGAAGTCCGCCCTGGCAACACACGTCTCGAGCAGGCACGCCTGCCCAGCCGCCCAATCGCGGTGACACCGGATTGCCCCGGATGGCGTGCCCGGGGCCTGGCCTTGGGGATCACCTGGTCCGACGCTGCGGGCACCCTCTCACGGAGGGTTCTCGCGACTCCAGGCGCCCATCTCCCTTGCCAGACTCCGCCGCCCCCACCCTTTGCCAGAAGGGGTATGGGGGAGAGGGGGCATCTGGCATCCAGCGCACGACCTGCCGAAATGCGTGCTGGTGGGCGGAAATCTCTCGTTCGGATGTGTGTCTGGGTCGTGGGTCTGGAGGCGCTCGACTTAGCGCTTGCGCTACGCCTGCGGACGCCCGCGCATGCATATACACAAGCGCCTCTGCCGCACGGATGTTGCGTATTGGTGGTGTTGTAACGTTCGTGCTGACCCGCTGCATTGCCAGTGCACCACCAGACTGTGCAGTCTTGTCCAAATCTCTGGGTTTAGCCGTCTTGTTTTAGAGGCAGGCGGAGGAGTCACGTCGCCGCCATCGCCATGGCCATCACGGTTCACCCCTTCCCCTCTTCCGCAGGGGCCGCGACAGAGACCGCCGCGACAAGTCGCGGAGCCGCTCCAGGACTTGCCGGCCATCGACACACCAGGGTGATCGTTGGGATGGAGCGAAGGGGCAAGAGGAGCAGGAGGAGCAGGAGGAGGCGGATCACCAGCCGAATCCCTTTCCCCATTCCCGCCCTCTGGCCGTTCAGACGTAGTTTGGGAAGTCAATGCTTCCCCATCTGACTATGGAGATTAGGGTCAGGGCCTTTTTTCCCCAACTCGATCCAAACGGACTGGTGATGGGGTCTGTAATCTCGCTTCGATCGGTTAAAGGAGGCTACGCGGGCGAGGAATACAGAGAGAGAGAGAGAGAGAGAGAGAGAGAAGAGGGGCGAGAGCGAGAAAGAGAAAGAGAGAGAGAGAGAGACAGAAAGAAAGAAGGATAGACAAGCGAGGGGGTGAGGTTTCGAGTACGGGTGAGTGAGAGGTTAAGAAGGGCAATGAATAGGAGCAGGAAAAGTATCAAAATCATAACGATAGGGCGAAGGAGGAACAGGACGAGGAGTTGAAGGACGAGGGGGAGGAGGAACAGCAGCAGCAGGTCGAGGACGAGGAGGGCTACAATGGAGAAGACCCGGACTAACACCCCAGCGCGGAGGAGGGGAAGGCACATTGAGCCAAGGTGGCAGGACAATGGGGGACCTCGGATGGCAGAGTAGGGGCAGTTCGGGGGGGGGGGGGAGCGGAAGATGGGGGACGGGTCTCCTCTTCCTGCTCCTCCCAGTATCCGGCTGTCTGCGGCAAGTCCCGCCACCGTGCTAGCCCAGCATGCTCGGCGGCTGTCCTTTGAGGGGGCACTGGAGGCCGTACTTGCAACGGATAGCAGCATGATAACGACGAAGATGCTGCCGTTGCTGCTGCAAATGATGCTGATGAGGATGATGGTGATTCTGATCATAGTAGTGCTGATGATGCTGAGGAGTAGTATGGTGATGGTTATGGTGCTGTTGCTAGTGGTGGTGATGGTGATTATGCAAATGTCAACGATGATGATGTTTACCGGCATGCTGGCGAGTATGTTGATCTTGTTAGTGTTAATCATCATGAGGATCAAGAGGATGATGAAGCTGATGATTATGGTGGTGATGCTTATGATGATGGTGTTGATGATGATCCTCATCATCATGCTGACGATGATGCTGCTGTTGTTGATGATGATGCTGATGATGATGATGGTGGTGGTGATGGTGATGGTGATGGTGATGATGATGCTGATCGTGGGGATATCGTTGGAGCCTTCTCGGGCCTCTTGGGGGCCTCGGGCGGCTCCTTAGAGGCCTATTGGGGGCCTCTGGGGCTCCTTGGAGGCCTCCTGGGGTCTCCTTGGGGCTTCTTCCGGCGGAAGGCTGGGATTGTCGGTTCGTGTTCCATTTCTTTGGCCCGTGCAGGGGTTCTCTCGAGCCGTCCAGGGGCGCCTCTTGGGGGCGTCTCTCGGTGCAGTCTTTGGCCCGTCTTGGTGCAGTTTTGGGGCTCTCTTCGTCCGGTTTGGGCGCCCCTTGGGGTTCCCTCGAGCCGTCCAGGGCCCCCTCTTGGGGGCCGCTTGGGCCGTCTTGGGGCTGCCTTGGGGGCCCATGGGACCGTCTCGGTGCGTACGGGTGTATGCGAAACACATAGGTATTCCTCCTCCTCCTCCTCCTCCTCCTCCTCCTCCTCCTCCTCCTCCTCCTCCTTGGTTTGCTAGGGGTCGCTTAGGCCGCCCCTGGGCGTCGAAGCCGATGGCCTCTCCACAATGAACATCATTGATGTTTGCCTCTTGGGGCACTCGCGGGGATCCTCTTGAAGCGCTCTCGGGGCTTTTTGTTGGACCTCTCAGGCGGTCTTGGAGGCATCATGGGTCATCTTGGCGGCCTCAGTGGCTTCCCAGGTCCGTCTTGGAAGCCACCCTGAGGATTTGGAGCACCAGGGACGTGTCTGGGCGCCGACGGAGCCTCGGGAAAAGGGCCGGTGCGCGCGACGAGGCGCGGCGGGGAAAGGGGGTGCCCCCGAGAAGATTACAGAAATCATACCAGACAGCACTTGGCATTCTAGCACGCCTCAACGTGCCAGGGGGTACGGTGGCGGGTTTCTCGACCTCGATCCGTTCTCCTCCTTGCCCTCCCCCTCCACGTGGTCATCGGTCATCCGGCGCGACTTGATGCTCACCGCCGGCGCTACAGCTGCTTGTTCCTTTTTCACCCGCGCACCGTGAGAACGCCTGGCACCACGTTCCACGGATCACGCCTTTTTGCCCCTCCGCGACGGCTTCCTGCAGGGCCCTGGGGGGCGCGCGTGCCAAAACGCGTGCTGCACCCGGGCCTTCTTTCGCAGTGGGCGTGCAGATCTGGGGGGCCCGTGCTGAGTCACCATTCCTTGCTCTGCTGTCCAGACGTTGTCCCGAGGAGACCGCTGCAGGGGGCGGGCTTTTCTCGCCACCCCCGTTACGTATATGCGGCACTCTCCGCCTCCTGAGGTGGGCGTCGCGTGGCGTTGGTAGCCCCACGCCCGGAGACGCGGTGTTTGAATCGTCGCGTTTTCCTCCTCGCTCTCCTTCCTGCTTCCGCCCCTCCTCTCCACTCTTATTCCCTCCCCCGTTCCGTCGCCATCCTCATTACCCTCCTTGTCTTCTTTCTTCCCTCCTCGTCGAGGAGCGGGGGGATGGCGGCTGGCGCCCCTCCGTTCCCTTCACTGCAATGTCTTTTTTTTCCTCCTTCCCTCGCTCCCCAAATTTCCAGTCACTCCCTCCACTACCCTGCCCCCTTCATCCCGCATCCCTCCCCCCTTCCTCCCCTCCCCTTCCCCTCTCTCCCGCTAGTGAGTTTTCCTGGAGAAGCGAACACTTCTGTAACCAAGTGCCTCAAGGATCATCGCAGTGATAAGCCGATGAACCAGCACGAAGGGGACGTTTAGGCCTGCGGCTGCGAATCGTCCAGCTGACGCGCACGCCAAGATCATTCTCAGTATGTACAGCCGGGGTGCTGAAGAAGGAAAGCTTTTCGTTGGGGAGGGGCTCAGTGTCCCTTAATTGTTTTACAGTTTGCCTTAGATTTCCATTAGGTGTTCGATGGGAAGTCGAAGTTTAGCTTAGGGAAAACAGGGGCTTCGTTTCTGTTTTAGGGTTCCTTAGGTCAACGCCCCGACTGTACCCCAATCAACCCAGATTTCCCCCATGAGGTCAAGCTTGCACAGACCAGGCGCATCAGTTTCCCCCAAGCTTGCAGCCCAGCCTTACCACATCTCCAGAAGGAGAGGCCCAACAACCACGCAGGCGTGCCCAGGGCAGGCAAACCCAGACGATCCACAGCTGGGCACCACGAGCCTAGCAAAGCCAACGGTGGGCAGCTTGAGCTTACCGCCACCAGCGAAGGTACACCACATGTCTTGCCGTTGAACTTGTCACCCGTTTTGATTCGCGAACAGGTGACGATAGTTCCTGTCCCACGTGCAGCGCCGCTGGAACCTGCTGCCGCCCCGTAGGGGATCTTGCTGCCGCCCTACGAAGCGCGAGTGGCGGCCCTCATCCTGAGGATCAGGCTGAAGGAAGAGGCTGGGCAGTTTTAATCATCTCCACCTACTGTAGGCATGTGATGTTTCTCCTAAGCTGTACACGTGTGCATATCCATCTCCCTTTCTCTCCCCTGCCCCCTGCCCCCCCTTACCACCCTCACTTCCGCTCCACCTGACAGACAGTCTAGACGCTGAAGTGCGGACCGCTTTGGGTTCAGCAGCGGCGATGGCTTCCTGGGTGTTCCTGAGATCTGGTCCGGTAACCTAGTCATTCGTGGCCGGGGTTCGCGGCCGTTAGAAGGCCCTTTGCACTTCGCACGGCCTTCCTCATGGTTGCGCGATGACCACATCCCTCTCCCAGTTTTCATACTGCCCCCTTCAGGGGCGACGATAGTGCGGGGGAGGTAGATACACTACGGGGCCCCCAAGCGCCGTCAATCGCCGACGGGGGCTGCGTAGCCCACCCCACCCAGGAACGCGTGGATTCGCCATCGGGGGCCCATCGCCGATCTGTTGGCGACGCACCACCGATTCCTCTTCGACGCCCCCCCTCGCCCCCTCCTGAGCCGTCCCTTCCCATGATGTCGGCCCTCGCCCCCCCTGAGCCTCCCACCCCTTCACGAAGCCAGTTTGGCTCGGGCCGTCTGGGCTCCGCTCGGGCCTCTGGCGCAACACGCGCCGCTGCCGCGGCGCGGATGCACGGCTGTTGGTGCGGGGCGGCGGCGGCATCGGAATTGTGGCGGCCGCTGCGGGGGACCGACGGCGCGTGCCAAGGGGGGCAGCGCGAGGGGGGGGGGCGTCTGATAAGTCAAGGCGTCTGGTTTCACCCGGGACGGGCGGAAGTCGAGGACACGCAAACATGGACCAAGGCGCGTGGATTACCGACGGGTCCCGTCTCCATGGGCGCTTAATCCACGTTAGCTTGCGCCCGAACGGAACGGGACGGTGATTGGGAAAGGGGGCGGGGGGGGGGGGCGAAATCTGCTGCGCGCAGTGGGTTTCGGCCCCGCCGCGGGGCGCCTCCCTCGACACATGGGCACACCCGTGCGTCAGGAGGCGCCTGGGAAAAACAGCTGCGTGGGCTGCTTCGCTCACGATTGTTTTGTTGATTTTTCCTTCTATCGAAGGCGGGTAATTTGTCTGAAAGAGCCTGGTGGATGTTCCCAGGATCGTTTCTTGCAACCGGGAGGGTTTCTGAGTAACCACCTTGCCTTGTCAACGCCCCCCCCCGTTCCCAACCATCTTGTGGTGTTGGGTCCTCGTTTTGAAGAGCCACAGCCCCGCGTTTTCCTGTGTTCCTCCTCCTCCTCCTCCTGCTCCTCCTCCTCCTCCTCCTCCTCCTACTCTGTCTCGCCATCACCACACATTTTGGCACATCCTTGATGCGGTTCGTGGCCCTGCTCCTTTCACACGCTTCGTGACCCCATAGGGAACGCCAAGGAAGGCTCATATGGTGACGTTCCCATACGTCCCCGCCACCCACTTTGACACACCCCTCACACGGTTCGTGGCCCCCCAAAAGGGAGCCCCACCTAA